TAGATAAAATAAGAATAATTCTTTATAATATTATATATTTTATTGAAAAGTTTTATCTGAAGATTATTTAATATCAATAATATTTGATTTCAAAATTAAGTTTATGAATAATAAAATAGAAAAAAAATTTATGTAAAAAATATGAATATAAGAAAAATTATTTACCATCTCTTAATAAATCTTAATTTTCATCTCTAATTCCATCTGAATCATCAATAATCTTAAACTAAAGCTCCAAAATGTTCGAATTAATCTGAAAATTTTCAGTTCAGATCAACTTTAGTTCAGTTTCAGATTGCAAAAATTTCAATCTGAAAATTTTCAGTTCGGTTCAGATTTTTTTCAGATTATAAATCTAATCTGAACTGAAAAAAATCCAAACTAAACTGAAAATTTCAGATTAATCTGAAATTTTGGATCATTTGAAATGATGAAATTATCGTTCCAATTGAACAATAAAAGGATTGTTAAATTGGAATGATAAAATTATCATTCTAAATGAATGATAAAAGAATCATTCAATTAGAATGATTAAATTATCATTCCAAATGAACGATAAAAGAATTATTCATTTGGAATGATCAAATTATCATTTCAAATGAATGATAAAAGGATTATTTGATTAGAACGATCAAATTATCATTCCAAATAAATGATAAAAAAATTGTATATTTGGAATGATTAAAGTTATCATTCTAAACGAATGATAAGAAAATCATTCATTTAAAATGATTAAAGTTATCGTTCCAAACGAACAATAAAAAAATCATTCGATTAGAATGATAAAATTATCATTTCAAATAAATAGTGTTCCTAATAAGTTGAGTCGAGTCAAGTTTCGAGTCAAAATTATCCTACATACCTTTAATTTAAAGTACTTATTTATTATGTGTAACTAAAATTTACAATTATGCACAATCATGCGAGTCAAATATGCGAGTTTATATGAGTTATTTTCAGAACTCACAAATAAATAATAAAAAAATCGTTTATTTGAAATAATTAAAGTTATTGTACTAAACGAACGATAAGAAAATTGTTTGATTAGAATGATCAAATTATCATTCTAAAAGAATGATCAAATTATCATTCTAAACGAATGATCAAATTATCATTCTAAACGAATGATCAAATTATCATTCTAAACGAATGATAAAAGAATCATTCATTTAAAACGATTAAATTATCATTTCAAAAGTACGATAAAAAATCATTCATTTGGAATGATTGAAGTTATCATTCTAATTGAACAATAAAAATCATTCATTTAGAATGATTGAAGTTATCGTTTCAAACGAACAATAAGAAAATCATTTGATTGGAATAATTAAATTATCATTTTAAAAGAATAATAAAAGGATCATTCTAAATGATTCAAAATTTCAGATTAATCTGAAATTTTTAGTTCAATTCAAATTTTTACCAGTTTACGGTTCAGTTCAGTTTCAGATTGACATTTTTAGGATTTATAATCTGAACTGAACTGAACTGTTCAGAGCATTATCTTAAACCTAATTTATAAATCTAGACTTTTTTTAATATTTAAATCAAATCAACCAAAAGTATCTGATGAAGTTGAAAAATATTTAAAGAAGATAAGATTCCTTTTAATTAATATCCATTTAATAAGTAATTAAATAATAAAAATAAGTATCTAATTCTTACTAAAATAGTAAAAATTCATTTAATTATTTTTGTAATATCAATACCATCAAAAAAGTTATTTTCTAATGCAGAAAATTTACTTTCAACAAAAAATCTAAAATGAATTCAAAACATTTTCAATATATAATATTTTTAAAAAAACATAATTAAAATTAAAAAAATTTATGGATAATTATTTATATTAATTATTTATATAATTTATTATAAATAAATTGTTATTTTATTTAAAATTATAAAACTTATTGTAAATTTAAACTCATAATTTTAAAGATTTTTATTTTTTAAAAAAAAGAAGTAAATATTCTAAATAAAAAATAAATAAATAAAATTTTTCTTTTTTATAATATAATATAAAATATAAATTAAAATCCAGATTCAGAAAAATATCTCAAAAAAAAAAGAAAAAAAGTGTAAATGATTTTTGAAAACAAATAAATAAAAAATAAAAAATATTCTTCTAACCTATCTTTTATAGTCCAAGTAAAATTCAGATTTAAGAAAGTATCTTTAAAGAAAATAAGCAAAAAAAAACATTAATAATGTTTCAAAATAAAAAAAAATAAAATTCTTATTACAATAATTTACCTTTATAATTCAAGCTAAAATCTAGGTTCAAATAGCATTTCCTAAAGAAAAAAAGCAAAAGAAGAATTATTAATGTTCTAAAGACAAAAATAAATAAAAACAATCTTTTACACTAACTTATCTTTATAGCTTAAGCTGAAATCTAGATCTAGAAAAATATTCTTTAAAGAAACAAAGCAAAAAAAAGAAATATTAATAGCATTTTAAAAACAAAGAAAACAAAAATAAACTTACAAGAAAAGAAGCAAAAGAAATGTTAATGATATTTCAAAGTTAAAGAAAAAATAAAAATAATTCTCATATTATTTATTTTTATAACTCAAGCTGAAATTCAGGTTCAAGAAGGCATCTCTTAAAGAAAATAAGTTAAAAAAATATTAATAGCATTTTAAAGATAAAGAAAAATAAAAATAATTACAAGAAAAGAAGCAAAAGAAATGTTAATAATATTTCAAAGATTAAGAAAAAACAAAAAAACTATATCTAACTTACCTTCATAATTCAAGTAAAATCCAGATCCAGAAAAGCATTCTTTAAAGAAAAGAAGCAAATGGAACATTAATACATTTCAAAGTCAAAGAAAAAATAAAAAAAATCTACATCTAATTTACCTTCATAACTCAAGCTAAAATTCAGGTCTAAGAAGGTGTTTCTTAAAGAAAAAAAGTAAATGGAATATTGATGATATTTTTAATAATAAAGAAAAAATAAAAACAATCTTTTACATTAATTTATTTTCATAATTCAAGTATAATTCAAGTTCAAATAGGTAATTTCTAAAGAAAAGAAGTAAAAGGAATGTTAGTATTCTTTTTAATAACAAAAAATAATAAAAATCATTCTTCCTAACTTACCTTTATAGCCCAAACTGAAATTTAGGTATAGGATAGCATTCTTTAAAGAAAATAAAGAAAAGGAATATTAGTAATATTCTAAATAAATTGAATTTATTCCTATTTTAACATATCTTTCAATTCAAGCTATCTAAGTAAATTCTGAAGTCTATATCTATATTTATGTTTATTTCTAAAGAAAAAAAGGTAAGTTTTTTTTTTTAAAAAAAATCAATATCATAAAATAATCAGATTATCTGATCAATCTAATTATTTAACAATATCTAATCAATCTGATATTTTTTAATAGATCTATCTAAATTATTCATAATCCATTTATTTATAATTTAGATAATCTATTTTTGATTAAATCAAATGACAGATTAAACAGATTTAACTGAAACATATCTTTATACTAATAACTAATTGATATTTTTTTCTTATTATTTTATAAATAAATTTACTATTTAAATAAATTATTAATTGGTATCACATAACTAATCCTAAATAATGACACATAATATTACAAGTATAATATCAAAAAATTTTTTATAATTATAATAAAAAATTTTTTGCTAAAATAATTATTAATCAGAATTCCAATCAGTTTCACAAAAATTGGTGATTTTACAGGGGTATATCTATAATAATGAAACCTTTGTATAATTACTACTATATTAAAATTATATGCAGTAACTAACTAGAAGTTATAACTCAGTTAAATAATTATTTTAGGATTTTTAGTAGGTATGATTTAATTAAACTCAATTTAATTTAGTATAACTTTATACAACTATTTTAATTCAATCAATAATACTTTAATCCAAAAATTAGATTTTATTAAAAAAAATATTATATCATATACTCTTAAAACTTTATTTCAAAAAAATATATCATAACATATTTTTCAGTTCTTGTAATGATTTCTCTTAATTTTTATGACTGTAATTCAAGCTGCTTGACCATATTAAAGTATTTTTAAAGATTTTCATATCAATCATGCTGAATTTATTTGTTTGCTATTCTTATAAAAAGTGATCCAATTTTGCAAGAATTTGAGTGTATTATCTAATGTTACTTATATTAATTCTTATTCAAAATCATCATATTCATCATTTTCGTCACATATCTCTTTATATATTAGATTTATTATATCAGATACATTTAGGATAACTTTAGTTAGAATTTCTTTTTACAAATCATGAAAGAAATTGTTTAACTCATCTGCTAATTAAGCATAATCATATTAAAATCCTTCAATTATTTGATCTACATCTGAAAGGTGATCAGTAGGGGGAAAATCCACTTTTTAGTCAAAAAATTTTATTGGTTCACTTTGCTTTTCATAGTCATGTGAATAAAACTAGCTTAATAACTAAAATTACTCAAAATTTCCCCTTTTCTATTAACAACCCCATCTGCTCTTCTTAATATATTATTTCTTGTTGAATTCATGATGTACTAGCTATATTTTTATTAGTTAAAGTAAGTTAAGATCTAAAGAATGATATGTTAGATCAGATAATAAATGATAAAGAGAACATTTAAAACTACTAGTTCCAAATTCTTATTTAAAAATAAAAGTAGATAAATTGATTTACATAGTCAAATTTAACTCTGTAATTGTGGTTGATGCTGTGTTTAAGAAAGTCAAACTTGGAATGCTAAAACATTTACGAGTTCATTTATATTAGAAATAATGGATTCAGAAGAGTGATCAAATGTTTGTCCAATGCCTCAATACTTTGTTACAACTCTGTACCCATAATTTTAATAATAATAATATCAACCATATAAACAGAACAACACTTAGATGTTCAATCAAATTTATTTTGATATTTCCTGATAGAAAATGTTCTAAATTATCAACTTATATACTTCATAAATCTTTCTTACAATAGAACCATTAGATACTGTTCATATTACAACGAATTCGAGAAAACTATAATCTTGACAGAAGTGATACCCCTCTACCAATATCACTTGAAATGCCACCTCTATGAGAAGGTGACTGAAGTCTATAATAATATTAATATGTTGTGCTGCTAATAAAGAAGGTAGCCTATTTGTAGGTATTTTTGATGCATTAGGATTTTCTGTGGCTAATGGATTTGCTAATGTTGCAGTAAGTTTATTAAAGTTGAATTAGCTGGTGGTCTTATGGTGGCATTTTCATTGGCTCATCATTTATTTTTTCTAAATCATTAGCATTATTGCCTGATAGTACAGTAAGTCGCATCCTTTCTTAAATCAGTGCTATTTGGTCAAATGGCTGATTTAGTGCACCTTTCAAATACTCACATTTTGTTATCATATCTGGCACTTTTTTTAAACAAGTTGATACTGCTTTTCATAACTTCATCATTTTGAACTTATTTGCAAGAAAAATTAGTTAAATCGTAATGTTAACTCATTATTTTTACAGCTTTCTAAATAAATTAGTTTTCCAAATGATGGAACCTTTTGAACATTATATTTAATATTTTTGATGAAATCTAAAATTAAAACTTTGATTAACATGTATTTTAACATATAATTTGAAATTCGCTTTCTTATACATAGATTTAATAGAAAGAAACTTGATAAAAACTTCAGATGAATACAACTTCTTAATGGCTAATATAAAGATAAAATATTAAAAATTCAGCATAATTCCAAGTTCTAAATAATTTATCCTCTAAACGCAATTTCAATTCTTTTCATACAAACCAGTCTGAGATTTTAACAAAATTGAAAACTAAATATCTCAATTATAGTCCTAATATCAATAATAGTAATATTGTCAAAGAATTGTCTATTTTCTTTGTTTATATTAAAATAAGAAAATCAACTTTTCAGAGAGACAGTCTGATTTTTGGAAATCAATTAAGTAAACTTAGACTCAAACAATTTCGCTAGTAAACTTGTTTTGATAAATTCTTTCTGCTCTTCTTCGAAAAGGAGCAACAGCATTATTTTTTGAAAAACTTCTAGACTTTACTGCTAGATGGATTTCCAACAGAAGCTGTCTCCTTAAATGAATGCACATTCATTCAAAAAAGGCAATATGATTGAAACTATTCTAATATATCTACTCTGAAAATATGAAGTATAGCTTCTTTTTTACTATAGGTTTCCTATGCTTTAATACTTGTTTGCAATAGAAATATTACTTTAACTTCAGCCTTTGCATAATATTTTTGACTTTTTCTTTTTTATATTATCAAGCCCTTTCAAGAAAGTGCTCACGCATTCTCACAAATAACTTACATCCTTGTTCTCAATCCTTTAAAAGCTGATTTGAGATAGGTTCAAGATTGTTATCAGAAGCTTTCATTATTATTTCAGGTAAAGATTTGATTTAGTCTTTTTGATGCAATTTTAGTATTTTATATATCTGATAAACATTTCTTGGTCTCTGATTAATTTGTAAGTTCTTGTATTTTTGGCCGCCAAAATGTCCTTAAATATTGAAACTCAAATAATAAAATTATTAATTAGATTAATTATTGTAAAGTTAGAATGACCCAATAATATTTACACTTAATAATTCATCATCTAGTGTCGAAGCCAAAGCATCCACTACATTTTTGTTTTCTTTTTTTAAGTTTTTTATCATGAGTATATGGACTATAGAAAAATAATAATAGTTTAATAAAGGATTAAATATAATCAATTGAGCGTGATTGTTTATTTTTGCAAAAGCTTCACGTAAATCAAAGGTTGAATATCTTGGAAGTCATAAAACTATACTTACACAAATTAACTTATTTCATTTTTGCAAGTATGTCTAGTTCTAAAGAATTACTGCTGTACTTCAATGGTAAATCTCACATTTCTGATATTTTGAATTTATGCCATTTTTTTCCTTTCAATAATAAGTATTTGATCTAGACTACAGTCATAATTAATTGATCCTTTAAGAAAGAATTAGAATTTGATTTGTTTTTTTTTGAATTTTGTAAATAAATCGTTGTATCTTTCTCAGAAAATTAAATGATATTTTATTGTAATAAAATTATTGAATAAAGTGAGATGACAGCACGATAAAAAGTTATTTATAGCAAAATAAAAATTCAAATTACAAATTAAAGAAAAAAAAGAATTCCTAATTATTGAAGATTTTTTTAAGAAAATCCGTAATGTTTGTAATAAAAATTTTAAAAGGGTATAATTAGAAAATTTCTATTTGTACACAGTCATATGTGACAATTTTGCAAAATAAATTCTTAAACATACCTTTATAATATAGAATATGAAGTAATATCATAATCATTATTAACAAATTTTTTTATCTTATTCATTTCTAGCATTTCTTCTCTAATTTCACGTGTAATTTCATCTACAGAACATTTTGTAATCCTTTCGTTATTCATCTAAAAAAAATGTTAAGTTAACAGTTGGTACATGTAAATATAACTTTATTCACGAAACCAGTATACTTATTTTGAAAAAAAGAAATATCAAAGAAAAAAAAAAGAAAATATGTAAGTATATTCATGATGATGGAAGTTTGTTCTGATTTTATAGAATTAGTGTGATCAGGTGATTTGTCGATCAATTCAAATTGTTTTTGTATTACCTGAAATATTTAATCATTTTATAAAAATAAAAATTAATTTATGTTCATTGTTTTATTATAATAAATAGTTACCAATTTTTAAAACATACCGAAAAAAAAGAAATAGTAAATTTATCATAAATTTTACTAAGGAAAATATTTATGTAACAAGTTGTTGAATCATTTAAAATAAAAAAAATAAAATAATATAAAAAATTTAGAGTTGATATTGGAATAACTGCTGACATCTTGCTTTCAAGGTCATGAACCAGGTAGTTAAAGCTTACTCACACGCTTTGGAGAAATTAGGCACATAGGCGTGATATAGCCAACTACCCTCTAGATCCCACAAAGTTGATAACTACAACTGGATCAACACAGAAACACCCTATAGCTGAAATGATTCAACTATCCATATTTGCTAACCATCGGCATATTACAAGGGGATTCATTCCCATAGAATGAAAATCATTCATCTTATTGAAACTTGTTGTCATAATAGAAATCCAATATATTGCACATTGGGGGAGTCGTACCCAAGGATAGCTGGCTAGGAAATCTCACGCACTATTCCACAATGACAATACTCATAAGAAGTTATAATTATTTATTTTCACATCCCTTTGAATTGTTAAATTCATATGATAAATAAATAAATTATTGTCTGATCAATTCTACTGAGAGTAAATTTGGAAGTAATAACCAATTCTACTAACATGTGACCATATGATATCATAAATTGTCATGAAAACTTGATTTATATTTCTTTTATCTTTTCTCCTCGTTTTCACTATTACTCTATTTTTTATACTCGACTTGCTTACATTACATTTAATATAATTGGCCTAGGCATCTGTATTAGGGCAGTTAATATTTAGTTTAAGTAAAATAAACTATGAACTTTTAATTTGTCACAGAATTTTAAAAGGCTGCTGTTTAATAATTCTAACCATTAATACAGATTTCTCATGTAGACACATGAATTATTTACTGATGAGGAAATTGAAATTAAGTATTTAAGTGCTTTCTTTTAAAGGTGCATTACAAAAATTTACACCAGAGCCAAAATATTAAGTTTATATATAACTCTGATACTTAAATAATTTCTTACCTATTTTTTTATTTTATTTTTTTTTTTTAATAAGATTTTGTCGATTATTTATTTGGTAAGTGTATTTTACTTCTTTATGATAACCTTTTGAACATATTTCAATAGAAAAGGAAGACAGTAACTACAAAAAGATAAATAGATTTTACTTTTAGCTAAATATGATATTTTTTTTTTAGTAAAATAAGTTCCTTAGTGTTTTCTCCCTTTCTACTGCAACGCGATATATTACTATAAAGCAAATAATCTTATGGTATGCTTCTTTTAAAATCTTAAATTACAGTCATTTTAACATAACTAAACTGCTAACTTTTATCATGTTTTTTAGAGAAATACTATTTACAATCAATTTACCCTAGTAAACTCTGTACTTGCATGAAAAATGCATAATTAACAATCCTATGTGGCATAACGAAATAATATACTGGTGTCCTAATTTTAAAATTAAATCATTTGTTTAGAAATAAATGATTTTTTAAAATATCAATCATTGACAATCATTTAAATTTATTGTAGAAATTGTTGTCTTATCTGGACTTTATAATTTCAGCGTGAGTAAATTCAGTTTATAAAAAGCTATTCTAACATAATTATATCTATTTCTAGATGAGTTAAATGCCTCACAAAAAGAAGATCATGGATCATTAAGGGGCAGATCACTTTCTATTTGCAATTCATTTCCCCATCTTTTGTCGATTATGATGTAAGAATCTTATGTTGTAAGCATATCAATTTATCTTAACATGGCATAACTATTAATTTTACTTTTTTATTTTAGTTATTCAAAGGTCTTCATCAATCATCTGAAAATCATTGACTTATATGAGAAGTTTGCTATTAAAACCCATATGCTAAAAGATCTTTAATGTCTTCAAAAATTAAGCGGGCCAATCAAAATCATTTGAAATTTGGAAAGCTAATCAATATGATTGGTTAAAATATTGAAACAGATTTTTCTGATCATTTTTGAGCTACTTTTCAATTTATTCAAAATGATTTAAAAAAATATCGAATAGTATCAAAATGAAACAGAATTGAACAGTACTAATAAGTAGTGAGTCTTCTTTCTCACATAGGAGGCAAAATTTAAAAAAAGGTTCATACATTTTCTACTTTTTACAAATGCTACATTGTTACAATTTTCAATTGTTTTAAAACAATTGCAATATTGAAAAATCCAGTAGAGGAATTGTTTAGTGTGATTAAAGCTTATTTAAAATTCGTAAGTATGTGTACAAAATGTTAGTTATGCATTTTTCATGCAAGTACAGAGTTTACTAGGGTAAATTGATTGTAAATAGTATTTCTCTAAAAAAAACAAGATAAAAGTTAGCAGTTTGGTTATATTAAAATGACTGTAATTTAAGAAGCATACTATAAGATTATTTGCTTTATAATAATATATCGCATTGCAGTAGAAAGGGAGAAAACACTAAGAAACTTATTTTTCTAAAAAAAAAAAATCATATTTAGCAAGTAAAATCTATTTATCTTTTTGTAGTTTCTGTCTTCCTTTTTTATTACAATATGTTCAAAAGGTTATCATAAAGAAGTGAAATACACTTACCAAATAATCTTATTAAAAATAAAATAAAATAATTTAAGTATCAGATTTATATATAAACTTAAAAAATATTTTGTCTCTGGTGTAAATTTTTGTAATGCATCTTTAAAAGAAGACCCTTAAATACTTAATTTCAATTTCCTCGTCAGTAAATAATTCATGTGTCTACATGAGAAATCTGTATTAATGGTTGGGATTATTAAACAGCAGCCTTTTAAAAATTCCATGACAAATTGAAAGTTCATAGTTTATTTTACTTGAACCAAAAATTATATTAAATGTAATGTAAGTGAGTCGAGTATAAAAAATAAAGTAATAGTATAGTAAAAACGAGGAGAAAAGATAAAAGAAATATAAATAAAGTTTTCATGACAATTTATGATATCATGTAGTTACACGTTAGTAAAAATTGTTATTACTCCCAAATTCACTCTCAGTAGAATTGATTAAACAATAATTTATTTATTTATCACGTGAATTTAACAATTCAAAGGGATGTAAAATTAAATAATTATAACTTCTTATGAGTATTGTCATTGTAGGATAGTGCGTAAGATTTCCTAGCCAGCTATTTTCAAGTACGACTCCCACAACGTGTAATATATTGGATTTCTGTTATGATAACAAGTTTCAATAAGGTGAATGATTTTCATTTCATGTAATATGCTTATGGCTAGCATACATGGATAGTTGAATCATTCTGGCTATAGGGTGTTTCCGTGTTAATCCAGTTGTAATTATCAACTTTGTGGGGTCTAGGGGTAGTTGGCTATATCACGCCTATGAGCCTAATTTCTCCAAAGCGTGAGAGTAAGCTTTAACTACCTAGTTCATGACCTTGAGAGCAAGATGTCAGCAGTTATTCCAATATCAACTCTAAATTTTTTATATTATATTATTTTTTTTATTTTAAATGATTCAACAACTTGCTACATAAATATTTTCCTTAATAAAATTTATGATAAAATTTTATGCCTTTCCTTATAAAAGCAAAAGGTATTTACGACGAAAAGAATGATAAAGAAAGTTGAAATTATTTTTTAAAAAAGATTTCTTAAAGAAAGAACAAGTTTCTTTTTATTAATTTTTTTTCAAATAAACAAAATTTACTATTTCTTTTTTTTCAGTATGTTTTAAAAATTGGTAACTATTTATTATAATAAAACAATGAACAATTACGATAAATTAATTTTTATAAAATAATTAAATTTTTCAGGTGATACAAAAACAATTTAAATTGATTGACAAATCATCTGATCACACTAATTCTATAAAATCAAAACAAACTTCCATGAATATACATATTTACACATTTTCTTTTTTTTTTCTTTGATATTTCTTTTTTTCAAAGTAAGTATACTGGTTTCGTGAATAAAGTTATATTTATATGTACTAACTGTTAACTTTACATTTTTTTAGATGAATAATGAAAGGATTACAAAAGTTTTTGTAGATGAAATTACGCATGAAATTAGAGAAGAAATGCTAGAAATGAAAATGATAAAAAAATTTAATGCCATAGTGTTAATAATGATTATGATATTACTTCGTATTCTATATTATTAAGATACGTTTAAGAATTTATTTTGCAAAATTGCCACATATGACTGTGTACAAATAGAAATTGTATAATTATATTCTTTTAAAATTTTATTACAGACATTACGGATTTCCTTAAAAAAATCTTCAATAATTAGGAATCCTTTTTTGCTTTAATTTGTAATTTGAATTTTTATTTTGCTATAAATAACTTTTTATCGCGTTGTCACCTCATTTTATTCAATAATTTTATTGCAATAAAAATATCGTTTAATTTTCTGAGGAAGATATAATGATCAATTTACAAAATTCAAAAAAAGCAAATCAAATTCTAATTCTTTCTTAAAAGGATCAATTAATTATAATTGTAGTCTAGATCAAATACTTATTTTTGAAAGGAAGGAAATGGCATAGGTCCAAAATGTCAGAAATGTGAGATCTACCATTGAAGTACAGTAGTAATTCTTTAAAACCAGGTGCACATGCAAAAATGAAATAAGTTAATTCATGTAAGTAAAGTTTTATGACTTCTAAGATATTCAACCTTTGGTTTACGTGAAGCTTTTGCAAAAATAAACAATCATGCTCAATTAATTATATTGAACCCTTTATTAAGCTATTATTATTTTTCTATTGTCTGTATACCCATGATAAAAAACTTAAAAAAAGAAAAGTATAGTGTATGCTTTGGCTTCGACACTAGATAACATATTATTAAGTGTAAATATTATCAGGTCATTCTAACTTTATAATAATTAATCTAATTAATAATTTTATTATTTGAGTTTCAATATTTGAGGAGATTTTGGCGACTGAAAATACAAGAACTCACAAATTAATCAGAGACCAAAAAATGCTTGTAGATATATAAAATATTAAAGTTGTATCAAAAAAGCTAAATCAAATCTTTACCTGAAATAATGGTGAAAGCTTCTGATGACAATGTTGAACCTATCTCAAATCAGCTTTTAAAGGATTGGGAACAAGGATGTAAGTCATTTGTGAGAAGGCATGAGCACTTTCTTGGAAGGGCTTGATGATATAAAAAGAGAAAAGTCAAAAATATTATGCAAAGGCCGAAGTTAAAGTAATATTTCTGTTGCAAACAAGCATCAAAGCATAGGAAACCTATGGTAAAAAAGAAGCTATACTTCATATTTTTAGAGTAGAAATGTTAGAATAGTTCCAATCATATTGCCTTTTTTTGAATGGATATACATTTAAGAAGGCAGCTTCTGTTAGAAATCCATCCAGCAGCAAAGTCTGGAAGTCCTTCAAAAAATAATGCTGTTATTCCTTTTAGAAGAAGAGCGAAAAGAATTTATCAAAACAAGTTTACTAGTAAAATTGTTTGAGTCTAAGTTTACTGAATTGATTTCCAAAAATCAGACTGTCTCCCCGAAGAGTTAGTTTTCCTTATTTTAATATAAACAAAGAAAATGAACAATTCTTTGACAATATTACTATTACTGACATTAGGACTATAATTGAGATTTTTAGTTTTTAATTTTGTTAAAATCTCGGATCAGTTTGTATGAAAAGAATTGAAATTGCAATTGGAGGATAAGTTATTTAACAACTTGAAATTATGCTGAATTTTTAATATTTTATCTTTATATTAGTCATTGAGAAGTTGGATCTGTCTTTTTATCGAGTTTCTTTCTATTAAATCTGTATGTGAAAGAAAGCAAATTTTAAATTATATTTTAAAAAACATGTTAACCAATGTTTCAATTTTAGATTTCATCAAAAACATTAAATATAATGGAAACACCTTTTCAAAAGGTTCCATCATTTGGAAAACTAATTTATTTAGAAAGCTGTAAAAATAATGAGTTACCATTACGGTTCAACCAATTTTTTCTTGCAAACAAGTTCAAAATGATGAAGTTATGAAAAGCAATATCAACTTGTTTAAAAAAAGTGCCAGATATGATAACAATATGTGAGTATTTGATAAGGTGCACTAAATCAGCGATTTGACCAAACAGCACTGATTTGAGAAAGGATGCGACTTGCTGCACTATCAGGCAATGATGCTAATGATTTAGAAAAGATAAATTAAGAGCCAACGAAAATGCTACCAAGAGACTACCAGCTAATTCAACTTTAATAAACTTACTGCAACATTAGCAAATCTATTAGCTACAGAAAATCCTAATATATCAAAAATACCTACAAATGAACCACCTTCTTTATTAGCAGCACAACATACTACTATTATTATAGGCTTCAGTCACCTTCTCATAGAGGTGGCATTTCAAGTAATATTGATAGAGGGGTACCACTTCCGTCAAGATTTTAGTTTTCTCGAATTCGTTCTAATATGAATGGTGCAAATGGGCAAATTCATACAGTATCTAATGGTTCCATTGTAAGAAAGATTTGTGAATTATATAAGTTGATAATTTAAAACATTTTCTATCAGATAATATCAAAATAAATTTGATCGAACATCTGAGCGTTGTTCTGTTTGTATGGTTGATATTATCATTATTAAAATTATGGGTACAGAGTTGTAACAAAGTATTGAGGTATTAGACAAACATTTGATCACTTCTTTTGAATCCATTATTCCTAATGTAAATGAATTCGTAATTGTTTTAGCATTCCAAGTTTGACTTTTATAAACACAGCTTCAACCACAATCACAGAGTTAGATTTGACTATGTAAAACAACTTATCTACTTTTATTTTTAAATAAGAATTTAGCACTAGTAGTTTCAAAAGGTTCTCTTTATCTTTTATTATCTGATCTAGCATATCGTTCTTTAGATCCTGACTTACTTTAACTAATGAAAATATAGTTAACACATCATGAATTCAACAAGAAATAATATATTAAGAAGAGCAGATAGGGTTGTCATAGAAAAGAAGAAATTTTGAGTAATTTTAGTTATTAAGCTAGTTTTGTTCACATAACCATGATCAGCAAAGTGAACTAATAAAAATTTTTGACTAAAAAGTGGATTTCTCCCTACTGATCGCCTTCCAGATGTAAATCAAATAATTGAAAGACTTTAATATGATTGTGCTTATTAGCAGATGAGTTAAATAATTTCTTTTATGATTTGTAAAAAAAAATTCCAACTGAAGCCATCCTAAATGTATCTGATATAATAAATCTAATATATGAAGAGGTATGTGATGAAAATAATAAATGTGATGATTTTGAAGAAGAATTAATGCAAGTAACATTGGATGATACACTCAAATCCTTGCAAAATTAGATCACCTTTTATGAGAATAGCAAACAATAAATTCAGTATGATTGATTTGAAAATCTTTAAAAATACTTTAATATAGTCAAGCGGCTTGAATTGTAGTCTCAAAAATAAGTTTAATTACTGAATTAATTAATTTCATAAAAATTAAGAGGAATCATTACAAAGAACTGAAAAAGATAATATAATATATTTTTTTGAAGTAAAGTTTTAAGAGTATATGATATAATATTTTTTTTAATAAAATCTAATTTTTGGATTAAAGTATTATTGATCGAATTAAATAAGTTGTATAGAGTTATATAAATTAGATCAAGTTTAATTAAATCACACTTACTAAAAATCCTAAAAAAAATTATTTAACTGAGTTATAAACTTCTAATTAGTTACTGCATATAATTTTAATATAGTAGTAATTGTACAGAAGTTTCATTATTATAGATATATCTTTGTAAAATTATCAATTTTTGTGAAATTGATTGAAGTCTGACTGATAATTATTTAGCAAAAAATGCTTTATTATAATTATAAAGAAATTTTTGACATCATATAATGTAACATTATGTGTCATTATTTAAGATTAGTTATATGATACCAATTGATAATTTATTTAAATAGTAAATTTATTTATAAAATAATAAGAAAAAAAATATCAATTAGTAATTAGTATAAAGATATGTCTCAGTGAAATCTGTTTTATCTGTCATCTGATCTGATCAAAAATAGATTATCTAGATCATGAATAAATGGATCATGAATAATCTAGATGGATCTATTAGATAGTATCAGATTAATTAAATGTTATATAAATGATCAGATTGATAAAATAATCTGATCATTTTATGATATTGATTTTTTTTTTAAAAAAAAAACTTACCTTTTTTTCTTTAGAAATAGATATAAATATAAACTTAGACTTTAGAATTTACTTAAATAGTTTGAATTGAAAGATATGTTGAAATAGGAATAAATTTTAATTTATTTAGAATATTATTAATATTCCTTTTCTTTATTTTCTTTAGAGAATGCTAACCTATACCTAAATTTCAGTTTGGGCTATAAAAATAAGTTAGTAAGAATGATTTTTATTATTTTTTATCATTAAAAAGAATATTAACATTCCTTTTGCTTCTTTTTTTGTAATTATTTTTGCTTTCTTTATCTTTAAATGCTATTAACTTTTTTTTAACTTCTTTTCTTTAAGAGATGCATTCTTGAACCTGAATTTCAGTTTGGGCTATAAAGATAAATAATACATTTAAGAATTTAGTTTTATATATGTATATTTACAGCATGACATGATAATTATTATAATAACTAACATTTGGTATTTCTCCGGTGTAGCATTATCGTCAATAATATCCATATTTACAGTATTCTTGAAATATTTCTTGAAATAATTTTATAAAAAAAATTAAGAGTATATATATGTAAAAATTAAACTCATTATAAAAGATTAAAATAAATTAATTATTATAACAAGACATTATAATAAAATCATTCAACCACGAAACTACTCATTATATTAAAAATAAATTAATATCATTATAATAAAATCATTCACTACGAAACCACTCATTATAGTGAATATAGTGAACGGGAAAAAAAAAGTTTTATCATATGATGATATTGATCACAATAAAGCTTCTGTGACGTTAAAACTAATTGTCGACTCAAATAATTTTAGGCAAGTTACTGCGTGGTCCGATGATCAGAACCAAAATTCACATGACTGTACTCTTATCACAAATTATCTTTAAACGTATGAATAAAATTCTGTTTTAATGAAAAATCTGTGTAATTTTCGTAATGATGAGGTTGCAAAGTCATTTGAAAAATGGTGGTTAGTCATTTGTCGAGATTTATTTGAATCAAATAAAAATCGGTATTATGTAATCAAAATTCGTTTTTTTTTTGTTCTATCATGTGCGATAAATATAATCTTAAATTTCTACTTTGCAGTATTTAATTTTCTTTTGTGGAAAAAATATGTCACTTTGAATTGTTGACATTCTTTGTTCTTTATTTTTCTTTTTTCTTTAGCTAAATTATATATTATTTTTATATATTCACGTTAAATTGAACTAATAAAATATTCATTTATTTAAATAATAATAATATTTATTAAATAAGACGTTCTATATATACGTCTATGACGCAATAAAGTAAGTTTAGATGTATTGAGTCTGAAATTTATTTTTGACTCGTAATTATTAATCAAGTTAATACAAATGAACTTTTCCTCATGATTATTAATTGATTTAATTGATATTGTAATTCAAAAGAAGAATGTAGAACCCTAATCAAGAAAAAAATAAGTCCTGGTACACGCAAATATTTTTTTTATCAATTACTATAACATAAATTTTGATTATTAAAAGAAAGTTTGGTTTCGAGTATTTTGAAAACATTGAAGCTATATTTGATTTTCTCATGAGGAAGATTTTTATTTTAGGATCATCTCGTGTTTAGTCAAAGTAAAATAAGTATTTCGGTGGCGTAATGTCGTTTATTCGTCGAATCATGATATTCTTAGATATTCTGACAAATGTTATTTTCAATTTCAATCCTTCTCTATCGTCAATCAGAGTATATTATTGATTTTTAGAATAGTTGACTCATAAATGTGATATTTTGATGTGATATTTCAATACTTGATTACAAATTATTTTTGCTAAAAAAGAAAAAAATGCTGCATTATATAAAAAAAATTCATTTGATAATCAAAAAAAATCTTTTTTTTATATAGAACGTCTGATGATTTTGGATAAAAAAAGATCAAAGAAAGATTACTTTTATTACAAACCTTTTTTACATTTATTTTTTTTTGCTTTCATTATAATTTTTAACAAAAATTGGCAGAAAAAAAAAAAAAAATATTTAAAACGAAAGAGAAACCGAAGAAAAAACAACGACAGCGAGAACAGCGGCAGCAGAGGCAGCAGCAACAACAACAACAACAACATGAGGAACCTCAGAGCAAACCTCGATGAGGAAATGGAGCCGCAGGAATTGTTAGTAGTGGAACGTGACAGCCATACACGTTTTATTGTCGACCTCTTGGAGGATATAGAATGTAAGCTACCTTTAAAATTTGATCATTAGCCTTTTTCAAAATTTATCGCTATTTTTATAACATTTATAATTTTTATATTTTTAAAGTTATGAATGTAGAATATGGAGAAAGATGATGATGAAGGAGATGAAAATGAAGGAGAAAAAGAAGAGGGAGGGAACTATATCAAGAATATGCTATATTTCATAGATCAGTAAATTCATCCAAAATCTATTATTTTTTTCAATTAAATAAAATATATATAAAAAAATTTATATTTTGCAAATAATTCATTTTATTATTTACATTTCACTTATTATAAAAAAAATAAGATCATATTAAATAATATTTTATCATAATATTTATTATAATTAAAAAATTAAAAAGAATTATAATCTAAATATTTGTTAACTAATATAAAAAATCATTCAGAATTTTAATTCATAGGGAAAAATAAAATGTTGATTTAAATTTCTTTATAAGGGTTAGTTTATTTCATTACGACAATACAAGAACTTCTTTTTAAAAAAGAAATCAACGTTTATAATAAAATTCTAATTTAAAGGTTAGCATATCTGACCCCAATGTTTACCTTCTATTTCCATTGAATGCTTTGCAATTCTTCACATTATCCATTTCCTATACTAACATTCCTCTTAATTTTATTTTAATTTGATTATTTACTTCATCAAGACGTTAGAACTAAAATTGATTAATTTTCATATTAAAAGAAACTTCATATCATTTACAGAATTAAGCATTCATTTTTAAAGAAAGCGAATATACATATTTCCTAATTAAATGTGTTGATAAACATACATTTGTGAACGGCAATGAGATGCTTCAATAATGCTATACAGTGTTTCATAAGTGTGAATTCTTTAGAATGGCTCGGCTGGATTTTTTTTTCTTAAAACAAAATTCGTATTATTAATCAAACGTAAGTATTATTAACTTAAGAATTGTAAAATTAAACTAAACAATTCAAAACAAAACTTTATTAATTGAGCCGAGTTACTGTAATCCGAACTAGGAAGAATTTGCTGATAGT